AGGATTCAGAACCCCCCAACACATACCCCAACATGTGAGTGCTATTAAGCTGGCAGTGCTGCGATGACAAGTGCCAGTGCTGATGACGTCGTCGTCGTACACAGCCTTCTATCCTATTTTGAAAATTCTTCCCCGTGGTCTTTATAAACCGAATTGCTCATGCATCCCGCGTCTCAATGTCACTTATGATAGATACACTTCACTTATATTGGAATACACTTCACATTCGGTGGTACATTTATATGTATCATGTCAACAACTGTTGGTGACGTCCTGTTTCAGCAGGCCTACTGCCACCTTCCCTTGGTTATATATTTATTTTTCCTTTCCTCTTTGGCTTATTACTTTTTCACTCTCACTGTATGGTGCCCACATTTCACTTGTTACTCAAACTCTTCGAAATTCTGAACACCCGCTTCCACACTCACTTGATCTTTGTATATTAGATCTGTGTAGCAACAGAAGCTTACTAGCCACTAACGGTTTGACACTTTGAACTATTAACGATTTCAGGCTTCCTCTCGAACTTTTTTTTAAACTACAATAAACTGGTTATCACTCGTAGGCTTGTTCACTGCCATTGGTCACTACCACTGATTACTGCTAGCAGTTACTGCACAACTTAAAAAACCACTAACGTTCTCGGAGCCTTGTGCCACGTCAGCTTGACTGACTGTGTGGTGTGTGTGCGTAGTGTGTGTTGTGACCAACAATCAACATTTGCACCAAAAACTCATTACCGCTTGTGACCGGTGTGGACGTGTGACTTGCTCATTTTACTCTGGAATTTTGTTCATGCATGTACCCATGTAAAAGCGTAAAGTAACCATTCTTACAGGATCATTACCTTTGCAACTTGTGAGCTCATTACCTTTGTACTGTTCTCTATCAAACTTGGGAGCCCAGTCCTGGACCCATTACGTACCTCCTGTAATCTTAAATTACTTTGTAATTGTCATACTTGTGATAGACCTCCCTGGAGTTCACTACTTTGTAAATTGTGAGTTCAATACCTTTGTAAAATTTATGGTTCATTACCTCTGTAACTTGCTCAGCTATCAAAACTTTGGGGTCCAGTCCCTGGACCAATTATGTACCTCTGTAATCTTTTGACTACCGCCCACAGGATGGGTATGGGGTGCATAATAAACATATTAAACTAACTGCTTTATTGTTATCTGTTTACAATAATGTTTTATCACTGATTACATCATTGCTTAGTTAATCTTAAGTTCATTTTAAGCCTGCCCGTAATGCTATGCATACAAGTGGCTTTGGCATGCTGCTCTTACCTGTATTTTTTTTTTTTTGTACCGCTGTATGTATGTTAAAATTATTAAATAAATAAGTAAATAAATAAATAAATACAAACCTTTAGCCAGACTCGGCTTATCAAAATTAATACTATAAAAATTAACATAAATCCTTGCCAGAATTTGGCATAGCAAAATTAATATTATACACAATATAATCTTTAGCCACACTTGTCTTATCAGTTACACATGCACTGATATAAATCTTGGCCAGAATTGTCTTATCAAATTAGTATTATACAAATTAATATAAACTTAGCCAGACTTGACTTATCAAAATTAATATTATACAGTTAGTATAAATCCTTGCCAGAATTTGGCATAGCAAAATTAATATTATACACATTAATAAAATCTTTAGCCACCCTTGAGCTTAGCTTATCCAAATTAATATTGTAATTATTATAATCCACTACACATTAAGTGAATTTGTGAATTTAACATCCACCTCCTTTTGTCATTTCACATATAATTATTAAGTAATTAACTAATTAATGACTTCACTAATTACCTCTGGTTCAAGAAGGACCAACGGGCATATTAAATGTGGAAAAATAGATTTATCTGATTGTATCATTATGTTCATAACAGTAAATGAAAAAAGATAATTATTATTTATCAGTTAGACAAGTCGGAATTTGGGACACTTAGGTCGCAAAAATGTCCCCCTTCGATACCTACCACTGTCATATCCACAAGTTGCTCTGGACCTATTAATTACAAATGAAATATACATACACCAGGAATGCTGGTAAATATATAAATTTGTGGACTGTATATTAAATTAATAAAGGAATATATATATATATATATATACACATTTACATAACAGAAGGAGAATATCTTAAAATCACTCACCAATTTGACTGGAGATCAAGGTGTATCATACTCAGAAAACCTCTGTCTATACATGAAAATAACACTGGCCAGAGTTACAACATCACAGACTTATCTGAGGTTCCTAGAGCTGTCTTGTCCCGTCGCCTGATATCTCAAGTCATGCAGAAATGCACATCCAACAATTTCGCCTCCTATTTGAGAGGTGTCAACCCAATTTTACCACTAGAGCACGAAAATTCTTCACATTATTAACAAATGTCTGTTACTCTCAATTCAAAACAAACAACAATGGCGAGTGTCTTTCTGCCCAGACGCAGGCTTTCCGTTTTCTATGACATAAATATTATTAAATACAGTATGGCCATCTATTTACATATAACTACTGTATTTCTGGAAAATATATACAGTATTTTCCACAACCTGACCAACCGGGCTGTGGTTCATACGTCAGCTTGCGTGCGGCCAGCAGTAACAACCTGGTTGATCAGACCCTGATCCACCATGAGGCCTGGTCTCAGACCGGGCCGCAGGGGCGTTGACCCCCGAAACCCTCTCCAGGTAAACTCCAGGTGTATGTACAAGATATACAGGCCTAGCTGACATAAATGACATACTTCTATATAGAAAGCCGCTTGTTATGCAGATCATTTCGGGCAAGTTAGGTCAGTTTTGTCCCAGGATGCGAACCACACCAGGCCCGGTGGCCTGGTGGTTAAAAGGTGGCCCGGTGGCCTGGTGGTTAAAGCTCCCGCTTCACACACGGAGGGCCCGGGTTCGATTCCCGGCGGGTGGAAACATTTCGACACGTTTCCTTACACCTGTTGTTCTGTTCACCTAGCAGCAAATAGGTACCTGGGTGTTAGTCGACTGGTGTGGGTCGCATCCTGGGGGACAAGATTAAGGACCCCAATTCAATTCAATTCAAAGTTTATTCTCTATAAGGATTACAATGCTGAGTTTACAGAAATTTGGTTATTGTTTGGTTTACATGTAGTAAAATTGTGATTACAGAGTGTACCACTAGAACGCTTAGCATGGCTAGGCATTTCGGGCATACTTAGTTTTATTCTTAATTGTAAAATATTACAAATTATGAGGTAAGTTGGTATTATGGCTAAGTGACTAAATACTAGTTTGTGAGTTTAGCAATGTGAATGCTTTTGTTTTGGCACAGTATATAGTTTCAGTATTGGAGTATCACAGGATTCATTATTTTAAGATTGAGATTAATATTTCTGTTTATGGTCAAATGAGTCAGTGAGTGTAAGTGTGAACCACCAGGTGGTATTCGTGTAGTTAGTTGACGGGGTGTATCAGGGAGATAAGATGTTTTCTAATGGTAGTTTTGAAGGTGATGAATGTGTCTGCAGTTCTAGAGTTCTCAGGTAGGGTATTCCAGATTTTAGGGCCTTTGACATACATTGAATTTTTGTAAAAGGTTTAGTCGGACACGGGGAATGTCGTAGAGATGTTTGTTTTCTGGTGTTATGCCTGGGGGTTCTGTCACAACTATCAAAAAAGGTTTTGGGTCAAGGTTGATATTAGTTTTTTTTTTAAGGCCCTTAGATATAGATTGCACGTAGTAATTGCTGTACTGAACGGGGAGTAAGTTTAGATTTTTTAAAGAGTGGGGGGTGTGCTCCCGGGGATGGGATTTAGTGTTTATTCTTACTAAAAGCTTTTTTTTGGGGTTATTTTGGGCTTAGGTGTGTTGCTGAGTTGATCCCCAACACAAATAGCATAGGTAGGTAGGATAAATAATGAGTGGTATAGTGTAGAAGGGCATTTTGGGCCGTATATCGTTCTTGGAGGGGGACCCAACCTTTTGGATACTTTTTGCTATATTGGATTGGTGCGAAATTAGGTTGTTGTAAAGGGAAACCCTAGGAATTTTCCCCCCATTTTTTTGGGGTAATTAAGTTTTGTCAATTTAATTTTTAATTTTGTGCATCCCCCTGCCTTACCAAACAAAATATATATTTTGTCAGGATAAGCGTAATTTTATTGGCTGTCCCAAGTCGATATTTTAATCGCCCCTCTTTTCACAAGGTTTGGGGGTGGCAAAATTGGGTGAGAGATGACATAAGTCGGTCATCAGCAAAGAGAATGGTTTTAGGTGTGGGATACGTTTGGAAGGTCTTTATGTATATGAGGAAGACGGGGACCAAGGACACTTCCCCTGCGGAACCCCATATCAAGTGGCCCCGTGTTGCTGATGCTGTTTTTAATGGGACGTCTGATACCTTTTTAGTAATGTAAGATTTGAAATAAGCAAGCGCAGGGCCTCTTATACCGATGGTCAGTTTGTGGAGTGGGATTTCGGGTTTTACTGTGTAAAAGCTTTTCTTAGGTCAATAAAAATTCCTAGTGGATATTCCTTATTTTCCAATGCGTGTAAAGCAGATCTAGCTTTTTTATGATTGCATCATTAGGCTTTTTTTTTCCGGGAAAAAAGTTAGACAGTCCTCGATGACGCACGATTTCTTGGGTACCGGGGGTGGCAACCCCCCGGGGTTAAAAATCCGAACGAAATCTTCCTTATTTTACCCATTTTACTGATGGGGAACATGGACATGGGGTAAGAAACCCGCCCAATGTTTTTACCCCGCGGGAACGAACCCAATTCTCGTCGTGTTAAGGTAGATTTTAGCCACCAGGCCACGGGGGTGGGTAGTTACAAAAAACAAAATGGCACCCGCATCGGCCCTTTTTTTTAGTCGGCTCCATTTTTTTCATTTTTTTTGAACGGTTTTATTAGGAAACCGGTTACTAAACTCAGGCAAGAGTGTTGGCGTCTCGCTCTGCTGGGGCTTGTCAATGGGGTCTACTTCATCTAATAAGCAACATCTAGTTTTTGTTGCTGGTTACAAAGGGATGCCCGTTCCATTTTCTTTCATGGTCCCGCTTTAGTCAATATAAGCCAGACACAAGCTGTCACTAGCTCTTATACACCCAACAAGGAGGAGGAAGCACCGGCTGCTGCTCCACTAAGTCCAGGTATTGTTTACGTCCAGGCTTTTTTTTTCCCCTAAATTTTTGAGCTATACATATGTTTTCCAAATACTGACCTCTAATACCTACTTCTGCAGGTGTATTACAGTGAGCTTAGGCAGCAGATAGAAGAGAACACGGGCTGCGATGGTGATCTCCTCGCCCACACTGTTTGCTCGAGCCAGAGGAGGAGATAAATACTGGAAGAGGAGGAGGATACTATCATTATCTGCAGTAAGTGCTGAACTTACGAGTACCTTGATCAGTAACAATTTTGTACTCTTTAAGGAAAGGTGATGGGGTGGGGGTGTTAAATTGTATGTGGTTGTAGAGGCCGAGTCTCGTATCTTGGCCTCTTTGTTGGTTGCTACCAGTGTCACTCTCCTAGTTTCAAAAGCTTTATCATACAGAACAAGCACTTAAAGTCAGTACCTGATCAGCCAGGCTGTGGTTCATACGTCAGTCTACATACAGCCAGCAGTAACAGCCTGGTTGATCAGGCCTTGAACCACTGTGAGGCCTGGTCACAGACTGGGCCACGGGGCGTTCACCCCCGAAACCCTCTCCAGGTATACTCCAAGTATACCTCTTCTTAAAGCTATGTATGTATCATACCACAATATTTTCCCACTTCATTCTCTAGGTCATTCTGCTTCCTGACTACTATAAGGCTGAAGAAATACTTCCTAACATCCTTATGACTCATATTTGTTGTCAACTTACAGTTGTGCCCTTGTTTTCCTTATGCCCATCTCTTAAACAATCTGTCCCTGTTCACCCTATCAATTCCTCACAGTATTTTGTACTTTGTTATCATATCCTTACTCCTCCTGTCCTCCAGTGTCATCAGGTTAAGTTCGCTTAACCTCTCCTTGTAGGACATACACCTTAGCTCCAGGACTAGTCTTGTTGCAAACTTCTGCACTTTCACCAGTTTCATTATATGATTTATTGGGTGTGGGTTCCATAGTGGTACTGCATATTCTAATGCTGGTCTTGATGATAGTAAAGGGCTTGATCTAAGGAATTGGAACCGCTCTTTCCTTCCTTGGATGATACCCTACGAGCTTAGTGATTCACTCAATATGGACAGTATTATCTCGATAAAACCTGTAAACATTACGTACTTACCACAAGAAATTCAGATCCATAACTTGGGTAAAGGTAGGGGGGTGTGTGGACCAGGTGTTTACAGTGAAACATATAAGTGAACAGTATTTAGATAAGGCTAAAGAGGTTTTTGTGGCATTTATGGATTTGGAAAAGGCATATGACAGGGTGGATAGGGGGGCAATGTGGCAGAAGTTGCAGGTGTATGGTGTAGGAGGTAGGTTACTAAAAGCAGTGAAGAGTTTTACGAGGATAGTGAGGCTCAAGTTAGAGTATGCAGGAAAGAGGGAGATTACTTCCCAGTAAAAGTACGCCTTAGACAAGGATGTGTGATGTCACCGTGGTTGTTTAATATATTTATAGATGGGGTTGTAAGAGAAGTAAATGCGAGGGTCTTGGCAAGAGGCGTGGAGTTAAAAGATAAAGAATCACACATAAAGTGGGAGTTGTAAGTGAGAGTTGTCACAGTTGCTCTTTGCTGATGACACTGTGCTCTTGGGAGGTTCTGAAGAGAAGTTGCAGAGGTTGGTGGATGAATTTGGTAGGGTATATAAAACAAGAAAATTAAAAGTGAATACAGTAAAGAGTAAGGTTATTTATTTATTTATTTATTTATTTATTTATTTATTTATTTACAATTTGAGCATACATACAGAGGTACAAAAAAATACAGATAAGAGCAGCATGCCAAAGCCACTTGTACTATGCATAGCATTACGGGCTGGCTTAAAATTAACTAAGCAATGATGAAATCAGTGATAATACATTATTGTAGACAGATAACTATAAAGCACAAATGAGTATTACAAAGACAGGTCATATGGTTGCATGCATTGTTGTACATTCATTCGTATGGAGTATTCTGTTAGGGAGTGTATTTAAAAAATAATAAAGTTAGATTGGGTTTTAGGTTTAACATTTATGTGATATAATTGTGAGAAACATTTAAGATATACAATTTATAAGGTTCAGTTATTCAGTATTTATTTGGTTTTGGGTGAGTAAGTGATCTTTGAGAAGAGACTTGAATTTATAAACAGGTAGTGTTTCTTTTATATTTACAGGTAATGAATTCCAGATTTTAGGGCCTTTTATGTGCATTGAGTTTTGCATAGTGTGAGATGGACACGAGGAACATCAAAGAGTGATCTGTGCCTTGTGTTATGGTCATGTGTTCTGTTGAGGTTGGCAAGGAGATGTTTGAGGGGAGGGTTAATATCAGAGTTAAGTGTTCTATGTATGTAATAGGTGCAGTAATAAGTATGGATGTTTTGTATGGTGAGTAGGTTTAGTGTATTGAATATTGGTGGAGTGTGCTGCCTGTAGTGAGAATTTGTTATCATTCTAACTGCAACCTTTTGTTGGGTAATTATTGGTCTGAGATGGTTAATTGTTGTTGAGCCCCATGCACAAATTCCATAGGTGAGATAGGGGTAAATAAGAGAGTGATATAGGGCCAGGAGGGCTGACTGTGGAACATAGTACCGTATCTTCGATAGTATGCCTACAGTCTTGGAAATTTTCTTAGAAATTTGTTGTATATGTGTATGAAATTTGAGTCTATTATCAAGGTGGATTCCTAAGAATTTTCCCTCTGTTAGCTTTGTGATAGGTGATCCGTTTATCATTATGTTAAGAGGGACATCTGTAGCTCTGTTACCAAACTGAATGAAGTAGGTTTTGTCAATGTTTAGTGTAAGTTTGTTAGTCCTCATCCAGGTAGATATTTTCTGTAATTCGGTATTTACAGTATTGGCTAGCGTGTCTGGGCTCGGGTGAGAGAAGACGTATGTAGTGTCATCTGCAAATAGTGTGGGTTTGAGTAATTGCGAAGCATTTGGAAGGTCATTTATGTATAGGAGAAAGAGAAGAGGGCCAAGGACACTTCCCTGTGGGACACCAACTGTAATTGGTTGCGCAGAAGAGTTTGCCCCATTTGCGTACACATAATGGCTTCTGTTGCTGAGGTATGACTTGAGGTAGTTGAGGGAGTGCCCTCTTATACCATAGTGTGACAATTTTACGTGGAGCAAGTCATGGTCAACTGTATCAAAAGCTTTACGTAAGTCAATGAAGATCCCCAGTGGGACTTCTTTTTTCTCTATTGCAGTGTATATATGTTCTAGCATGTGTATAATAGCATCATTAGTATTTTTATTAGGCCTGAATCCAAATTGGCAGGGGTTGAGTATGTTTTGGGAGATAAGGTAGGAGTAGATTCGTTTATGAATTAATTTTTTGAAGATTTTTGAGAGAGGGTGTAAGTTGGATATTGGCCTATAGTTATTCAACTCTGTTTGGTCTCCTCCTTTGTGGATCGGGGTGACCCTTGCTATTTTGAGTACTGTAGGGAAGGTGGAGGATTCAATGGATTTGTTAAAGAGTGTTGCAATGATTGGTGATAGCACTTGTGACATTTTTTTGTATATAAGGGTGGTAAGGTATTTAAATCTCCTGCCTTGTTTTTTTAGTGCGTTGATAATAAGGGGGACTTCGTATGGGTTAGTCGGAGCTAGGAACAGTGTGTTCGGGTAGTTGCCGGTGAGGTAGTCATTTGGTGGGGTATCTGAGCTTGGGATTTTATTGGCAAGGTTTTGTCCTATAGTGGAGAAGAAATCATTGAGTCTGTTTGCTGGTTTCTGTTGGTGGGAGTTGGGGTTCATCTGATTTTGCTAATTTTATTTCGCTATTTCGCAATATCTTTTTTGTTCCCAGAATTTCTGATAGGGTTTTCCAGGTCTTTTTTATATCACCTCGTAAGTTGGATAATCTGTTCTCATAATACAATTTTTTTGCCCTTCTTATCAGGCTGGTTAGGATTGACGGTAACGTTTTGTTTGGTCTCTGGTTATGTGACCCATTCTATACTGTTTTTCATATTGGTGTTTTGTATTTATGGATTTGAGAATGCTGGGTGTTAGCCAGGGACTGTTCAGTCTCTTAGCTGTCATCTGTTTAGTTTTTTTAGGGGAGTGCTTGTTTTAGAGGTATTGGGTCTTTTTTAGAAAAAATTTTTAATACATTCGTCAATATCTGTATAGATTTCTAGCTCAGTGTGCCAATCAATGTTTGCTACTGATGTTGTGAAGTTATTAATGGCTGCCTCATTGTGAAGTCTGAAGGTGACTTTAGTAGTGTCTTGGGGTAGTTTACCAAGAGTTGTTATGAGGAAAGTAGGGTAGTGGTCTGTGGTATTATCTGTAATTATGCCTGATTTTAAAGGGGATATGGTGTTGGTCCAGATGTGGTCAAGTAGGGAAACACTAGTCTCTGTAACTCTTGTAGGTTTAGTTACTGTTGGTAGTAGCATACAGTTACTCATTGTGTTTGTGAATTCAGTAACGTGTGGGTCCTGGTCTTGCAGGAGATTTATATTGAAGTCACCAGAGAGTAGTAAGTGATCTTTGTTCATGCGTGCATCAGTTATCATACTTCCTAGGTTTTGACTAAATTGGCTAATGTTTGACTGTGGAACTCTATAGATGTTTATCAATGTGAGAGGTTTTTGTAGGTATTTGGATTTGAATTTAACTATTTATTTATTTATTTATTTATTTACAATTTGAGCATACATATAGAGGTACAAAAAAATACAGATAAGAGCAGCATGCCAAAGCCACTTATACTATGCATAGCATTTCGGGCTGGCTTAAAATTAACTAAGCAATGATGAAATCAGTGATAATACATTATTGTAAACAGATAACTATAAAGCACAAATGAGTATTACAAAGACAGGTCATATGGTTGCATGCATTGTTGTACATTCAGTCATATGGAGTATTTTGTTAGGTAGTGTATTTAAAAAATAAAAAAGTTAGATTGGCTTTTAGGTTTAACATTTATGTGATATAATTGTGAGAAACATTTAAGATATACAATTTATAAGGTTCAGTTATTCAGTATTTATTTGGTTTTGGGTGAGTAAGTGATCTTTGAGAAGAAAATTGAATTTATAAACAGGTAGTGTTTCTTTTATATTTAAGGTAATGAATCCAGATTTTGGGGCCCTTTTTTGATTGATTTTTGCTAGTGTGGATGGACACGAGGAACATAAAAGAGTGATCTGTGCCTTGGTTTGGTCATGGTTCTTTTGAGGTTGGCAAGGGATGTTTGGGGGGGGG